ATAAGCATGTACTCAAAATCTATAAATTAAATATTAATAATGCCTTTTTTCTCTTAGGAAGAAACCAAACATAAATATTTTGATGCTTTTGCAGTTCATAAGCATGATGATTAGGTGTTCACATTCAAGCGTGGGATGTGCCATCCTCAAACCTTGCCACAATGTCAGCACTTTGCCCATCTGACATGAAAAGAAATCGTAGATAAATAGTTCTCACATTTCCCTTCTACACTCTCATGGATCCCTGTGGGTGTGCAACGCTGTGGAGACCACCACTTGGACCCTGAAAGCTGTAGGGATTGGAAGACGGGGGCCTAAATAAGTAAAAGTTAGTTCATTTCTCCTGCTCTTCCACTCCTGACAAGTTCTCAATTCCTCTCCCAAAGCAGCCACTATAAAGAGTTGCTTTTTTTTTTTCCTTTCGCTGTGTATTTTTTGTTTTTATTAATTTATTCTAAAGAAACAGATTAGTAGTTCCTGTGCACCAGACCCTGTTTTCGGCACTTGGGGACAAATATGACAAATAAGACTGCCCACATGGGACTTTACATTCTGTTAGGGAAAACAGCTAATAAAAAACTAAATATTAAATAAGGCCAGGCATAGTGGTGCACATCTGTAATCCCAACATTTTGGGAGGCCATAGCGGGTGAATCACTTGAGCCCAGGAGTTTTAGACCAGCCTGGGCATAAAAACAAGACCTCATCCTTACTTTAAAAAAAAAAAAAAAAAAGGAAGGCCAGCAACAGCAACAATAGCAGTGACTCTGTTTCTTGTGTTTGTGTTCCTTTGCTCTGTGACTCTGAGTGTACTTTCTACTTTGGCTCTGACCTTGACCATGTGACTTGCTTTGACCAATGAAATATGACACAGTAGAGAGGCTTGAAGTGTCCCTGTGGTTTGGGCTCTTGGACCTCTGCTGTCATGTGATGAACTAGGCTCACCTTCTTGATGAGGAGAGAAGCATAGTCCAGTCATCCCATCACCGCAGCCAACACCGAGACACGTGACAGGCATTTGACTGAGGCCATCTGGAACCAGTCAGCCCCAGCTAAACTGCCAACTGACCACAGATGCATGAGTGAGCCTAGCTAAGATCAGCCAGAAGAACCGCCTAGCAAAATTATGAACTAAATAGATGGTTGTTTTAAGCCATTGCGTTTTGAGTTGGTTTGTTATGCAGCACAAAATAATTGATACAAGCTGCAGCATGAACCAGATACCATGCTGGGATGTCTCTTTACCATCATCCTGGGGCTGTCCTCTGCTTTTTTCCTGTATTGGATCTCATATTTCTAGTAATCCATATCTTCCTCTTGCTTGGTTTCCTTCAGTGACTCCCCAAGAAAGAGTACATGAGCAGTAAATTAATTGTATGAAACCTTGCATGTCTGAAAAGGTCTTTTTTTAAAATTTTTTTCGATTCTTGTGTTTAAGTGCTAGTTTGGTTGGGAGTAGAATTCTAGGTCATTAACTATTTTCTCTTAACATTTTGAAAACCTTTCTCCATTGCTTTGTAGCCAATACTCCTGTTCACAAGTTAAAAGTCTATGCCAAAAGATGATGAGATCACCACTTAGTATCTGAAATAAAAGGACAAAGCTGAATTTACTCCTTGCTCCAGTGAGAGCTATGATGCTCAGAAACAGTCTTTCCATGCAGAGCAGACTACTAGAGTTTTGAGGAAGCATGATGAGTTCAGGGAGTTCAGAGACTGCAGTAGGATGTTATCATTTGCAGAATCACAATTCCTTAGGGGAAACTTCGTTGATTGTTCACCACTCAAAGGTGTTTTTACAGGAGTGAGTTCATCTACCACTGGCTGTTTTTCAGAAACAAAGACCTGATCTGATGAGTTGGCTTGTAAAAGTGTGTACATTGAGGGGAATTGTGTTGATTGATTACATGGGTTTAAAACCAGTTTTTGATAGCTACTTCTTATTATGACTACAGAACAATTGCCTTTCCCTAAGTTTTGGGGAACATTTTTATTCTCATAAATTGCTGATCCTGTGTATATGACTTGTATATTTTTCCCCTTTCTACAATCTTGCAGGATCTTCTCTTTGCCTTCAATGCTTGAAATTTCACAATGTGTGCGTTAGCCTAAGACTGTATTCACTTAATACATTTTTCTGTCTAGAAATTCAGATTATTAACTTCTCTTCATTTTTTTTTCTTTTGGGTGCTCTATTAGTCCATTTTCCTGCTGCTGATAAAGACGTACTCAAGACTGGGCAATTCACAAAAGACAGAGGTTTAATTGGACTTACAGTCCACATGGCTGAGGAGGCCTCACAATCATGGCTGAAGGTGAGGAAGAGCAAGTCACATCTTACATGGATGGCAGCAGGCAAAAAAAAAAGAGCTTGTGCAGAGAAACTCCCATTTTTTTAAAACCATCAGATCTCGTGAGATCCATTCACTATCACAAGAACAGCATGAGAAAGACCCATCCCCATGATTCAGCGTCTCCCACTGGCTCCCTCCCACAACACATGGGAATTATGGGAGCTACAAGATGAGATTTGGGTGTGGACACAGAGCCAGACCATGTCAGACGCTAACACCCTTGACCAATTTCCTAATTGTCTTACATTTGTATCTCCTATTTTCCATCCCCTTTTCTTTTTGCTGGAAAAATTCTCCACTTTATATTCTGACCTTTCTATTGAAAATATTAATTTCCAGTCAGGTGGATTGGCTCACATCTATTATCCCAGCACTTTGGGAGGCTGTGGCTGTAGGATCACTTGAGCTCATGAGTTTGACACCAACTAAGGCAACATAGTGAGACTCATTTCTACAAAACATAAAAAAAATTAGGTGGGCATAGTGGCACATACTTGTAGTCCCAGCTACTCAGAGAGCTTAGGTGGGAGGATTGCTTAAATCCAGGAGGTCCAGGCTGCAGTGAGCTATGATCATGCCGTTGCACTCCAGCCTGGGTAACTGAGAAGGATCCTGTCTCAAAAAAAGAAACAAAGAAAGAAAATAAAATACTCCTTTCTGCTATATATTTAATTTTCAAGATCTTCTGTATGCGTTTTGTTCCATTTATTTATTTGCTTATTTATTTTTGCATAGAATTATTTTCTTGTTTTGTGGTTATAGTAGCTTCTCTTTGTGAGATGTTTGACTTTTGTTTTATCTATTTCCTTGACATTACTTTTTTTTCTTTATTCATTTTCTATCTTCCGAGTTATAGGCTTTCCTCACATATCTTATCATTTTTGTATCTGATAATATTTAAGGGTGAGATGCTGAAACACTGGCTGGAAGCCCTGAGAATATGAGAGCTGGGCTGGTCTGATGTGGGTTTCACTGTAAGAGCATCAGGGTGGGCTGGGTCTACTGAGGGAACTTCTGATGTCAATATCTTTCCAAGGTCAGGTATTTCATAATGGACCAAGCATATTTCCCAGAGAAGACTCCATGTCCTGCCTGGAGGGTGAAGGTCTAACTTTCAGTGTTCTTGGCCCAGAGAAGGAAAAGATGGATATGGTATGGGGTATCCCAGAAGCTAATATGCATAAATTCACTTAATCCTCTATTTTTAGTACAGTTCTCTCACACTCAACTGCACTGGTGTTCTTCTAATGTAGAACCATCTATTTTACTCCATTCTGAAAATAAGCTATCACTCTTTTGCCAGTTAAGGAAGGTGCAGTCTCTGGGATGCTGCACAGATCTGGGGAGAAGGCTAGGGATCCAATCCAATTCCTCCTAAAGAATACTTCCAAACAATCCTCCTTATTTAGTCCATATCCCTTTTACCCTCACTTCTTCAGGGACCTGCTGCCATTAGTTTCCAAGTCTTCAGATATGCTATAAATCAGATTAGTTTTTAGTTTTCTCTTCTGCCTGATGGGATTTAAACTTCTCAGATCTGCTCATTCTATCACTATGTATTCATCTGTTTTCCAGCTTCCAAAATTGTCCCTTCTTCAGCTCTCACCATCTATTGGGTTTAAGCCTTAAAATATCTATTTACTGGTAGTTTAACTGGGATTCCTGGAAGTCAACAATATAAAAGTGTATGTTAATCTCCTACCTTTACACAAAGCTTGCTTTTCATTTTCCATTTATGGGAAGTGTGTTAATGGCTTCATAATTGAATCTAGCTTATAATTTGTTTGTGATAGATCTAAAACTGGTTAATGAAAGATGGCTTCAATTATAGTAGGCTTAAAGCAATGTCTTTCTCCTTAAAAATATAGAAAAGAAAAAGCAACTCAGCACTAACCCAGTGAAGGGGGATACAGATAAGTCAAGATTTGTGTATGGGGGATGGGCACGGTGGATCATGCCTGTAATCCTAGCACTTTGGGATGCCAACGTGGGTGGATCAACTGAGGTCAGGATTTCAAGACCAGCCTAGCCAACATGGTGAAACTCTGTCTCTACTAAAAATACAAAAATTAGCCGGGTATGGTGGCACATGCCTGTAATCCCAGCTACTCAGGAGACTGAGGCATGAGAATCACTTGAACCTGGGGGCGGAGGTGGCAGTGAGCCGAGATCACACCATTGTACTTCAGCCTGGGCGATAGACTGAGACTCTGTCTCAGAAACAAAAACAAAAGTTAAACAAGGGATTTGTGTATGGGAATATTCTTTCCATGCGTTTGTATGCCCTTGCTAAAATGCAGGTTGCATAACAGCCTTAATAAGAAAATTCCTAAGCCTGTGTAAACTTGTGGGAGGGGTGTAGTCACGCATAATCTCACACTGAAATCTGCCAAGGCAGTGAATACTATAGAATTCACAACTTCAGTTTTCATTTTGCCCCACAACTCAGAGCTGGAAACATATGTGCTTACGAATCTTTGTCAAGTTAATCACTTTTTCCTTTTGCACCAAAAATTTAAAACAGACTTCTTAACAACTGTCGCTAGCGTAATCTGTTTACTAGTCATATGATAAATCACACTTGAGGTAAGTTACTGTTGTTCTGCAAGTTCCTGCTACTCTGTTAATTGCCGTCGTTTTTTTCCAGAGTTGTGCTCTCCTGCAGCCTTTTGAGGGTGGCTGGCTTCCATACCCAGAATCAATCACACCACGACACTGAAAAAACAAAAATAAACAGGAAAGTAAGTAGAATCAGGTATTTCATCTCTTTGTGAAACGTCTTCTCATTCTTGGCCCGAAACCATTGTTTACCTTCCCAACTTAAGAAAATCTTTCCTGCATTCTGCCACTTCTTGAAAGTTACCTTTGACTTTCCGGTGGTCTTCTCTCACTTCCATTCTCTTTCAGCCCTGGCGGCATTTGTGAAGATGGCTCAGACCCTCTTTACTGACAGATAACTTATAAAACAACTTACACATCATGAGCCCCCGTAGACAAACTTCATTTCCCACCTCGAACAAACCCAAAGCTTTCCTCCTTTAACTATATCCTAATTGGTAATAACAAAAGCATATATTGAACAATGACTTACATATTGTGCTAAGAACTTTACATATATTAACTCTTTTCACCATCACAGTGACACTATGAAATACAATCTATTGTTATACCCATTTTTATAAATAAAAAAATACAATCCAGAGAGTTTATGTAATCTGCTCAAAGAAAAACATTGGTCAGTGGCATGCCGTTTGGTAACTGGTACCACCAACCATGAAGTCAGTTGTCCACACCAGAAACCTAATAATCAGGATTAATTGTTTTCTTTCCCTTTCTCTCCACATTCTTACCATCTCAGGCCAAGCTACCACCATGTCTCACCCAGACCACCGCACCATCCTTCCAACTATTTCCATTAATGTTCCTTTATAGACTATTCTCCATATAAATGACATATGAATTTGATAAATCCATAATCATAACGAGAGATTTTTTTTAATCTCTTTTTTTTTTTGAGATGGAGTTTCACTCTTGTTGCCCAGACTGGAGTACAATGGTGCTATCTGGGCTCACTGCAACTTCCACCTCCCAGGTTCAAGCGATTCTCCTGCGTCAGCCTCCTGAGTAGCTGGGATTACAGGCATGCGCCACCACACCCGACTAATGTTGTATTTTTAGTAGAGACGGGGTTTCTCCATGTTGGTCAGGCTGGTCTCAAACTCCCGACCTCAGGTGATCTGCCCGCCTTGGACCCCCAAAGTGCTGGGATTATAGGCATGAGCCACTGAGCCTGGCTGCTAAAAACCTCTTTCAAAAACTGACTTCATGCAGACAAAATAGTCATATGACTCAAAAAGATTTATTTTTATTGTGCAAATAACACAATGATCCAAATCTTATGGAAATATGTGGAACACTACACACACACACACACACACACAAATAAAGAATACACAACAACACTTAGAACATTTACAAAAATTGGCTGGGCATGGTGGCTCATACCCGTAATCCCAGCACTTTGGGAGGCCGAGGCAGGCGGACCACTTGAGGTCAGGCGTTTGAGACAAGCCTGGCCAACATGGTGAAACCCCATCTCGACTAAAAATAAAAAATTAGCCAGGAGTGGTGTCACATGCCTGTAGTCCCAGCTACTCAGGAGGCTGAGGCAGGAGAATAGCTTAACCTGGGAGGTGGAGGTTGCAGTGAGCCGAGATTGCGCCATTGCATTCCAGCCTGGGTGACAGAGCAAGACTCCATCTCAAAAAAAAAAAAAAAAAAAAAATTTTTTTTGCAAAAATTGACTATGTCTTATGTCTTAAAGTGAGTCAACAAACACCACAGTCATTATTATATAGATCACATTCCCTTATCACAATATAATAGAGTTACAAATCAGGAACAAAAAGATAGTTAACCCCTCTGTGCATTAACTCTTCTTTACTCTTCCCTCTATAAAAAGGAACTAGCATTTTCCAGCTCCCTTGGTCGCTGGCAACCTGGTAGGCTCTGCAATGGGAAGCACTGACTGCAACCTGGGGCGGCACAGGGGGAAAAGGCAAAATGTTCTCCACTTCCTGTGGATTGCTATGGGGGCACAGGGAGAGGATTCCTTACAGAGAAATTCATATCCCAAAAGGCAAGTTCTGGTTTTGAGCCGCCTCCTCGTTTTGCTGACTTCTTTGCACTTTGTTCACCAATCTAACTTTTTACCTTTCTTTCACCATTTCTGTATAATTCCTTGATTGATTGATTGATTGATTGATTGATTGATTTTTTGAGATGGAGTTTCGCTCTTGTCGCCCAGGTTGTAGTGCAATGGCACGATCTCGGCTCACTGCAACCTCCACCGCCCAGGTTCAAGTTATGTTCCTGCCTCAGCCTCCCGAGTAGCTGGGATTACAGGCATGTGCCACCATGCCCGACTAATTTTTGTATTTCTAGCAGAGACAGGGTTTCACCATGTTGGCCAATCTAGTCTCGAACTCCTGACCTCAGTTGATCCACCTGTCTCAGCCTCCCAAAGTGCTGGGATTACAGGCGTGAGCCACTCTGCCTGGCCCCAATTCCTTGATGTTTGAAGAATCTGTAGCTCTGTTAGGAGCCTCCACTTGTCCTACCATCACCCGGTCTATATAATAATGACTGTGGTGTTGGTTGACTCACTTTGAGACATAAGACATAGTCAATTTTTGTAAACTTTTTTTTTTGTTTTTTGTTTTTTGTTTTTTGTTTTTTTTGAGACGGAGTCTCGCTCTGCCGCCCAGGCTGAAGTGCAGTGGCCGGATCTCAGCTCACTGCAAGCTCCGCCTCCCGGGTTCCCGCCATTCTCCTGCCTCAGCCTCCCCAGTAGCTGGGACTACAGGCGCCGCCACCTCGCCCGGCTAGTTTTTTTTGTATTTTTTAATAGAGACGGGGTTTCACCGTGTTAGCCAGGATGGTCTCGATCTCCTGACCTCGTGATCCGCTCGGCCTCCCAAAGTGCTGGGATTACAGGCTTGAGCCACCGCGCCCGGCCCTTGTAAACTTTTTTTTTTGAGATGGAGTCTTGCTCTGTCGCCCAGGCTGGAATGCAATGGTGCCATCTCGGCTCACTGCAACCTCCGCCTCCTTCATGTCGGCCTCATAAACTTTATGCCAACAGATAGACTCTAAAACATCTGTCTCTTGCCTTGACTTTTCTGTTGACCTTCTTTCCCATGTTTATAACTGCGTACAGGGCATCTCCACTTTAAATTTTCAGAATGCCAAATTTTACATGGATAAAACTAAATTTACCATCTGCCTCCCCACTCTCTAGAACATGTTGTTCCTAACGCGGCACTTGACTCCAGCACTTTCCCACAAACACCCATCCTGGAAATCTCAGATACCCTTGGGGTACTGACTGCATCTCTGTCATTAATGGCTTTTGTTCCAAGCCCAGAGCCTGACAGGTATGTAAAGATTTTTTAAATGATTGTTAGACTCCTTTCTCTTTCTCATTTCCAGTCCCTTTCTTATTTATTTATTTATTTATTTATTGAGACAGAGTTTAGCTCTTGTTGCCCAGGCTGGAGTGCAGTGGAACAATCTCAGCTTATGCAACCTCCGCCTCCCAGGTTCAAGTGATTCTCCTGTCTCAGCCTCCTGAGGAGTTGGGATTACAGGCGCCCGCTGCTATGCCTGGCTAATTTTTGGTATTTTTAGTAATAACGGGGTTTCACCATGTTGGCCAAGCTGGTTTCAAACTCCTGACCTCAGCTGATCCGCCCACCTCGGCCTCCCAAAGTGCTGAGATTACAGGCATGAGCCACCGCTCCCGGCCTCCAATTTTTATACCTCTGTAATGTCCTCTCAAATGCCTTCTCCTCTTTCTATTTCGTTGTGACTAGTCCTCTGGCTGCTCGCCTGGAAAGGCAGTGGAGAGGGTTGTAACTCTGGGAGTGGAATTATAACTAATCTAATGACGGTGTTTAACAAAAGCCATGTTAAAGGCAAAGTGCTTCTGTTTCAAAAATTCTCTCAAACCCAGTTTCCTCTTGGCAACAATCGGCAACCACAGCAACAATCAGCAACACAGAAGAAGACTTCTTTGACTAAATATGTGGGGAATTTCCTGACTCACGTAGCAGCAGACACCAGCTGGATGTCCTCCAGTTCAATTCTGACACCATCTACCTGGAGATAGCATCAGATTCTATTGGTTTGGGGCTTAGTCCCCAAAACTGCCCATTCCACAGACACCCGTTGCAAATCTGGGCCTCTGGAACTTCCGATCAACCAGCTTCAAGTTGGGGTTCCCACACCTTCTCTTTGTGTTGGGTTAATTTGCTAGAGCAGCTCACAGAACTCAGGAAAACACTTAAGTTTACTGGTTTGTTATAAAGGACTTTACAAAGGACACAGATGGAGAGATGCATAGGGTGAGGTATGGGGAGAGAGGCGTGGAACTCCCATCCCCTCCCTGGGTCGCCACTGCCCAGGAACCTCCAGGGGTTCAACTATCTGGAAGCTCCCTGAATCCAGTCCTCTTGGGTTTTTATGGAAGCTTCATGATGCCAGCATTCCTTCCCCCGGCTTACAGGGCAGGACCATCTCCGGAGAGGATCTTAAGACCCATAGTCGGAAAGGTGGGGTAAGATTAGAGTCCTGTCTTGGGGAAGGTGAAAGAAAGGCAGGAAAAGATCAGAGAGATTCTGTTTTCTCAATCTGCTCCTGAGGCCTAACACACCCAACCTTATAATGAAAGATTGTAACGAGGGCTCTGGGAGATACGGTCCAGGAACTGTGGACAGAAATGTGTGTGTGTGTGTGTGTGTGTGTGTGTATATACACACACACACAAAATAACACCATAGCTTCTTTTTTTTTTTTTTTTGAGACGGAGTCTCGCTCTGTCGCCCAGGCTGGAGTGTAGTGGCCGGATCTCAGCTCACTGCAAGCTCCGCCACCCGGGTTCATGCCATTCTCCTGCCTCAGCCTCCCGAATAGCTGGGACTACAGGCGACCGCCACCTCGCCCGGCTAGTTTTTTGTATTTTTTAGTAGAGACGGGGTTTCACCGTGTTAGCCAGGATGGTCTCGATTTCCTGACCTCCCATCAGGTGATCCGCCCATCTCGGCCTCCCAAAGTGCTGGGATTACAGGCTTGAGCCACCGCGCCCGGCCACACCATAGCTTCTTAGCCAGCAAGAAGAGGAGGCCGACCTGACTGTAATGTCTTAATGCTGTTAACACAACTGAGAAAAAAATGTTTCAAT